CGAGAAATCACCCCCCAGGGGGGATGGTCACGCCGCAATCCCTTCTCCTCCATTCTCCTCTCAGGATCTTGGGCACGCACGCACACGCGCCCGGCATGAGTTTTAAGCCACTGGGTCCTGGACGCGAACCGCGGTCGACCACGTGGGAGTCCAGAGACATAGCCATTACCCTAACTGCTGGTTCCCCAAAGCAAGTCATCTTCATCCTCAGAAGGGAACTTTACAAAATAGAGGCCCTTTCTCTCTCTCTCCGTCTCTCTCTTTTTTTCATCTTGCACTGACCAGGAACTCAAATTCATTGGGGAAATTTGGGAGAATTTCAGTAACTGGAACTGGTGGATTATAAAATATGGAGAGTGGGGATGGGGTGATTAAGAGTTGGTGCTTGCACGACAAAACACCTTGGGTCAACCCCGGGCTCTGCCGCTTTCCAACTCGGAGCTCTGCCGCTTTCCAGCCCCGGGTTCCGCCGCTTTCCAACCCCGGGCTCTGCCACTTTCCAGCCCCGGGCTCTGCCGCTTTGCAGCTGTGTCAGAGGCTCCATCCTCTGCACTGGTCTTGGCCTGGAAGTGGAGGACCCTGAGAAGCTCTGTTCACGGAACAGATACTGCGTGTCTGGAAAATGCCTGCCCTGCAGTAAGGGCCTAGTGAGGGTCAGCACTCGAGGATGATGTTGCTATTCCACCTGGAAATGGAACCTCTCACCATCCGTAGTCATTGCAACCGCGGTAAGAAAGCAGAACTGGAAGGCAGTTTGCAGGACGTGGCATTGCTTCCTTTTAAATCTGACCTCCTGGTCACAACCCACATCAGATGCAAAGTCGAGCTTTCCAACCCCGGGCTCCGCTGCTTTCCAGCCCCGGGCTCTGCCGCTTTCCAACCCCGGGCTCTGCCACTTTCCAGCCCCGGGCTCTGCCGCTTTGCAGCTGTGTCAGAGGCTCCATCCTCTGCACTGGTCTTGGCCTGGAAGTGGAGGACCCTGAGAAGCTCTGTTCACGGAACAGATACTGCGTGTCCGGAAAATGCCTGCCCTGCAGTAAGGGCCTAGTGAGGGTCAGCACTCGAGGATGATGTTGCTATTCCACCTGGAAATGGAACCTCTCACCATCCGTAGTCATTGCAACCGCGGTAAGAAAGCAGAACTGGAAGGCAGTTTGCAGGACGTGGCATTGCTTCCTTTTAAATCTGACCTCCTGGTCACAACCCACATCAGATGCAAAGTCGATGCTTACCTGAAACGCTTCTGCCAAGTCCTCTCTGTGGCATTTGCAAGCTTCCTTGGGAGGCAGGGCCACCACTGTCTTCTCTTTTTCTATGGCTTTCAGCTCATCGCGTTCATCAATCTGTGAAAAGAGCAGGGTTGTTGGGAAGTAAACTGACGTTCTGTACCAACGCATCTTTTCCCTTTTTATTTTTTGAGAGGTTTTTGCTATAGGGTACCTGCGCTTGCTGGAAAGACAGACCCCCTCGGGGGGGATGGCCATTCCACAATCCCTTCTCCTCCAGTCGCCTTTCAGGATCTTGAGCACGCACACACGTACCCGGCATGAGTGTAAGCTGCTGGGTTCAGGACTCGAACCACAGTGGACTACGTAGGAGTCCTGCTGGTCCCCTAATGCATCTTTTAAAAGTAAACAGACACTACGACCAGCAGTTAGCATAACGGCTATGTCGCTGAACTCCCCTGTAGCCTACTGTGGTTTGAGTCCCAGACCTGGTGGCTTAATTTCACACCGGACTCGTGTGCATGCATGCCCCAGATCTAGAGAGGAGAATGGAGGAGAAGGGATTGCGGCGTGGCCATCCCCCCTGGGGGTGATTTCTTGCTTTCTCTCCGTCTCTCTCTGTCTTTCTGGCGAGCGCACGTGCCCTACAGCAAAAACCTCTCCAAAAAAAGAAAAAAAGAAAAGTAAACACACACAGGAAGTGGTGGCCAGTAAGTGGCATTAACAGTTATGGCACTGGATGCCCACATGCCTAACTGTGGTTCAAGTCTTGGACCCGGCAGCTTGAGACTCATGCTGGGCACATGTGCATGTGTGCCCAAGATATCAGGAGGAGAATGGAGAAGGGATTGCAGGGTGGCCATCCCCCCAGAGGGTGACATCTCACTTTCTGTCTCTCTTCTTTGGTAGGCACACATGCCCTAAGGCAAGAAAGAAAAAGAAAAAGAAAAAAGAAAGAAAAAAAATGAGCGTGAACGTACAACTTGAATTTTCCCAACTCTCAGAGCCAGCCTCCAAATCAAGAAACAGTCATTACGGCCCGGGAGCCCCTCACACTGAGGGCAGCTGGGTCCCGATTTCTACCACCGTGGGTGAGTTCTGCGTGGGGCTGAGCTGCACGCAGATGGCAGCGTGAGTGTCTGTTCTGTCTGCCCTCGCTCCGCGCTGTCGGGAGGGGAGCGCCTGTCCTCCCGTGTCTGGGTTAGGGTTCGGGTTAGGGTTAGGGTGTCGGGAGGGGAGTGCCTGTTCTCCCGTGTCTGGGTTAGGGTTAGGGTTAGGGTTAGGGTGTCGGGAGGGGAGCGCCATGCTTCCCATGTCTGGGTTAGGGTTAGGGTTAGGTTAGGGTTAGGGTGTCGGGCGGCGGCGGGCTCCTGTCCTCGCGTGTCTGGGTTAGGGTTGGGGTGTCGGGAGGGGAGCGCCTGTTCTCCCGTGTCTGGGTTAGGGTTAGGGTTAGGGTGTCGGGAGGTGAGCGTCTGTCCTCTCGTCTGCCCTCGCTCAGCACTGTCAGGAGGGGCCTGCACGTGCTGCCTGCCGTGCTAGCCCATCTCCAAGGCGGCGCTGTCTGAGTGCACACACCACAAAATCCCTTCTCCGTTCTCTCGGGATTTGGGGCATGCATGCATACACGTCCAGCATGCTTGTCAAGCTGCCGGGTCGAGAACTGACCGGTGGTCAGCCATGTGGGATCCAGCAGTCTCACCCTCCATGCCACTTGCTGGCCCTCTGAGACACTTGGAACAAGCCAAGGAAAGGGTGGAGGAACCCCAGCAGGCTCTGCAGTCCGAGTGCTCTGTGCTGGGACCCTCCCATGTGGGAAGGAGCCGTCTGGAACACCTGTGGGTTGCGGGCTCTGGGCAGCTGTGAGAACACAGGGTGTCTTGGCATCAGGAAAGAGCTGGCGTCTATGTGAGATTATTCCTGGTTTTTCGACACCCAGGATGTGAGAGATATCTTTTCCTTTTCTGGCAGGTTATGGGAACTGGGAAGGAGGAAGAGAGAGGCATTGACCGACTTCTTCCTTTCACAGGGACAGACATCGCAAATCCCTCTCTTCCTTCACCACCCCACACCCCCACCCCTCAACAATCTCCCCATGCCCTGTCTGCTTAGGCAGCCCGTCTGTGTAGACGGCCCCGTCCGCATAGACGGTTCTGCTAACCACATGCTTCCCAGGGCCAGCTCTCCCGGGTGCCCAGTGAGTGGGAAGTGAGCAGCGTCTGCAGGCCGTTCCTGGCTCGCCCACCATTGTGAGCGCCTCGGGTCAGCGCCCCGTCCTCTGTAGGCTTCCCGTGATGGGAGACGGGCCGGCACAGGACAGGGACTTTCCTCCCTCTCCGTGCCCAGGACGTGGTCCTGCTGCAGGGACACGGTGCTCGGCCCTGGTTCACCTGGGGCTCCGGCACCCGCCCCGGGCTGTCCTTGGTCTCGCCATTCCCTCTGGCCACGACTACACCCAGTCCGCTCTTCATACCGCACCTTAGTGACCCTGAAACACGGAACTCCAGTCTGGACCTGCCACTCACTACACATGCACACGCAATCACACACGCACACATAGGCCGTGCCCCAGAAGTGCTCGGGGGCCCGCTGCTCCCAGACACACCCTCCCTGCATGTGGACGCCACGTCGGCCCTTGTCCTCCTTAACGATCTGGATCTGGCTTGGGGCGGCAGCACGCCTGGCTAAGGTCTTTCCTTGGCCCCCGAGACCTGGCGCTGCCTCCTGGAGGGGTCCCGTGTGCCCAGGAACAGGTTTCTGAGAGCTCCCTCCACCCATCCAGGCTGGTCTTGGCTGGGTGTGGACTGCGGGAGGCCAGGCGTCAGCACCCTGGGCTCGAGGGCGGGAGCCAGTGCCCCGCAGCTCTCCCCACGTGACAGCATGAGGCACACTTCCTTGGCCCCCACTCCTACCTGAATGCGGGGCTCCCAACTAGGGCAGCTGGGCCCAGGCAGCTTCGGCAACGTCCAGTGATGTGGCCATCACCACCAGGAGGTGGGGCTCTGGCGGAGCCTGCCGGGGACTGTGGGGATGCCGCAAGCTTTGGGGGGGGGACCAAGGACCACGCCCATCCCCCAAGGGCGCCTGGGAGAAAACGTCAGTAGTCCCGAGGGGGAAACCCCACTTGAAGATAGATGGGCTCTCTGCCCGAGGTCTCCCCAGACCAGGCCGGTGACCTGCCCTACCCTCTAAGCATCCCGACACCATCGCGGGCTCGCAAGGTTGCCGGCAAGTGTCCTTACCTAAGTGCCCTCTGCTCACAGCCGCGGCCACCGCTGGAGGTCGGGGCCAGGGTCTGGCAGTCGGCGCTGAGGGCTCCTTTTGAAGCCCGCAGGTCGTCACCTCCATCAGAAGGACGACTGGGCACGCTCTCAGCACACAAGCCTCAGTTTACCCTCATTGCCACGGCTGTCCAGGAGCCAGTTCAGCATCACTCGCCCGTGTGTCGCCAGGCAAGCGACTGTCACATAGGGATGGCAGTGTCCACCTTGTCATGTTTAGGTAGAATTACGTGAGTGCACTCATGGTGGGGGCTTGACCCATGTCAGACCCACTAAGCCCCCGTGGGTGCCAGCTTGAGCTAGACCCCACGCTCTGCAGTGGGTGCTGGCTGGCTGTCGAACCCCGCTCAGCTCTACAGCACACTCGGGGAAGGGGCTGTCCCCACAGTTGAGGGCTCAGTCCCCGTGACTGCATACTTCACACGCCAGTCCCAGGTCCAGGCCTCTGACCTTCTGGCCCACAGGTCCCACGGTCTCCCCTCCTCAGGTTGGAATAACCTGCTAGAGCGGCTGAAGGACTCAGGGCGAAGGGCTGTGGCCTGGCTGCAGCCCACTGGGAGGGGTGCTTTCTCTCCCACTCTCTCTGGCAAGCACATGCACCCCAATAATTACACAGCAATGACAGAAAGTGACTACTACAAAGAACACAGGCAGAGATGCACAGGCGAGGCCCAGGTACGTGGGTGGGTACACAGCTCCCACGCCCTCTCTTGGGGCGCCTTCCTCCAGGGGTTCGCTCCTTGCAAGCCCTCCACCCTCCTTTGGGGACCTCACTGCATAAGCATGAGGGAACCGCCTGGGCAGGGCCCCGCAAAGCCTGTGCTCAGATCCTCGGCCCTTCTGCATGGCCCTCCATCCCCACACACCCGGGGGGCAGAGGGCAGGGCCCTTCTGGAATGAGGGTTTTCAAGGGGGAGGGATCGGAGTTGCTGTGCAGGCTTTGGTGAGAGGAGCGATTGTCTCTCATCTTTATCTCCGCCCTAAGCTGTCCCCAAGCCCGGCCCATGACTCTGTCACTATCTGGGGAAACCCTGCTCTCCCGCTGACCAGGCCTGGCACTGGGGTGAGAACCTGCAGGGCAGGCTTTACAGAAGAAGCCGCGTCTATAAATGCACCTCACACACAGGGCACGTTCAGCACATTCCAGAAAGAACCAGCACCCTGAAGGGATCAGGAGGGCCCGTGAGGGTGTGGCTGGCCCTCACGGGGAGCAGGGGGGGGCTCTGCGA